GCTTTTAGAAAGCAAATACAAAGTGATCTTTATGTTTATATTGCATGGAACACAATTTAAAGGGGATGTTTCTGTTCTCCTGTCCAATTCACAGATCTAATTTATACCTAGATAGTGACAGTGCTTGGCATTTTTCTAAGTCTAGGAATATTCAAGTTGGATTTAGATCGGAATGATAGATCCTTCAGAGATCACAGATTTGTCTATTTTTGTCTTTTTGTTTCCCTCTACACTTCCAGACTACGCAGTCACAAGGCGACTCTGCTGGGACTTCACCATGATTGTAGTACTTTGCGGGATTCCTTCCCCTCATTGGGAAGACAAAGTAAAAGGTGAAAATACGGAATTCTCCTCTGGCAGTATGGCCCATAGCCACTGTTTGGAATTTGAAGGTGTTTCTTCATGTGTAAGGCGAGGTCCAACCTGCAAAAGGCCCAGCACACTTCTGGCACTGGAAGGGGTGGTGCCTGGTGTGTGTGCAGTAATGCCACATCAGTTCAGCTGAGTGGGCAAATTTCCACCCACAGCCTTCCCAGTCACAGTGGCAAGGTTTCTCATCTGTGTGGATTTGTAGATGTGGTTTGAAAGGAAAACTCGTGTAGGTTTTGCAGGTGATTTATTTTACTGGGGCCATGACCTTCTTCCTCTCTTTGGCTTGGGCTCCTCTGGCATGCAGAAACCTGGTGGCACGTGCTCTTGGTAATAGAGTGTGGGACCAGTGTCTGCAGCTGGGCTGGCAGAAGAGTGGGTAGTTGGGCTCAGGGTGGGGATAGAAGCTACCAGAGAGCAGCCCAGCAAAGCAGCAGTCCCTGCTGTTCAGCAGTTCCTTGGCACTCAGGGTCAGGATTGGACCGCTGGAGAGTTGCCACTTCAGGGTATGTTGTGTGGGGGTGGCCAGTTGCCGATACTGAGCAGGTGTCAATGCCCAGGTGAGTCTGCAGGGGCCAGCTGACAGGGGCACATGAATGGAGAGGTCTATTGTAGGGTGCCAGCCGTCCTGACTGCCTTTAACACTGATAACTGACTATGTTGCTACCAGGGGCCCTTAGCCATGCCTTCAACATGAACCTGTCCAAAAGCCTGCCCCCTGGTGGCAGGAGTTGTTGCAGTGGAAGGTGCACCAGGTCCAATTCAGGCCATTGGAGCTCAGCCACAAAACTGCCTAAATGGCTCACCTCATAGATGTCTCCAAGGTTGAAGGGTGCCATGGGAGAGGACAGAGACTCCTGGCCATAGAGGAAACTAACACCCTCATTACCCGATGACACCCACTGATATCCCCAGGTGGCAGCTAAAGCTGCAGGTAGAAAGTGTGCTGGCTGGCCCACGGCTTAGCTCAAAGGACAAGGATAAGGCTCAAGCTAAACAGGATAAGCTGGCAGTCAGACTCATTAGTCAGGGTACCTCCGGGAGTGCTTTCTCCCTACCCACTGGGGCATATGTGAACGTGGAGAAGGATAGAAGTATTGCTGATAGCCATGTCAGAGATACCTCATTAATGTAGAGGCTCAGAAGGTCCTCAGGAGCCTGAACCCCAAAGTCAACAAAGAGGAAAAACAGGCTTAGAACCCCAAACTGCCCAAGATCCTTCTTCTTTGGATTAAAATAGAGACTATTTTAAGATGTTCTTATGTATACCAAAGTTCTTAGAAAATTTGTAAACTCATAAGAATAATAAGGAGAGTAAGTTGGTCTGGTGGCTAGGCTGCACACTTCTTAGCTCAGTAGTGTTCCCCTTGGCAGTCTCAGGCATCGCACCTATCACTGTGGGCCCAGGGGCCATGGCCAGTGTTGGTGGGAGGGCAGCACCACCAGGCGAGTATGACTGCAGTGGCACAGAGCTGCAAACTGGGTGGTGGTATAGGACAAAAGTCCAGGGCTCTGCTCACACACAGGCATTGGCTGAGAGCATGTGAATAGGTAGGAATAGGATGAGGTGGGGAGGGGCACTCAGTGACTCCCTGTGACTGCCAGTCTCCACCACCTCAGCTAACTACACCAGTAGCCATGCTCATCCTCTTGGGCTGAAGGACTGTCCATCCCTAGTTTTGTATCACAAAGTTTGTTGCTTTTATCCATGTTGATTGGTATCTGCTGTGTAATCTGTAAAGAATTTGATGATTCAATTCTTTTTGTCTGGCTCTGTGTTGCAGTATGTCCTGTGATTGGTCTATTTTGCATACCTTGCAAAGTACTGGTCTATATACTACAGACAATATAAGTATGGCCAAAAACATTGACAATACCATTGATCACCAGAACCCACTGCTAATGAATTGATTCCAACTCCAAGAAAACTCAGGTCAGAAGAATAAACCCATTTGAGAAGAAAGTACACTTGGAAGGCTCAAGTACGAATGGTGAGATTTCATAAAATATAATTTGGAAATTGTGGTAGTTAGATGATTTGATGTCAACTGGACACTCCTGGGCAAGGGTGGATTCAAACCTGTCAATCAGGTTACAGTCTGATGCTGTGTCCTTGGGGGTGTAGCTTTCATATAAGCAGGGACCCTGGGGCCTACCCTCTATCTCCCCCTCACCTTCCTGCTTGCTGGTCAACCCGAGAGCTGTTGGGAGCTCTGCCATTTTTGCAATCCACATGAATTGAATCCTTGAAATGAATTGAATCAAAAAGACCTTGAATCCACATGGCTCTACACCCACCAGCCACTGATCTCCGTGCAGTTTGTGTCACTGCATGTGGCTACGTAAGTCTGAAGAGGGACTATTGTTGGACTGTGCTGGGATGCTTTCTTGAAATATAATTACTTCTTTATATGAACCTCTTATACATATATGAGTATGTCACTGGATTTGTTTCTCTAGTCAACCTGGCCTAACAAATGTTATCAGGAGAGATCAGTCCCTGGAAAAGAACACCACAATTGGAAGAGAGTCAGTGAAAAAGATGAGAATTTGGGGGAGGGCTAGAAAGAAAGAGAAATGGAAAAAGGAAATTGGGATGAAGTGGCATAACAGACATTACATTGTAGGGATGGGAGTCAATGAGATAAAACAAAATGTACACAAATTGTTGAATAGAAAACTCATCTAATATGTAAACTGTCACACAATTCAAAATAAGAATTTAAAAAAGCATAGCAAAGATTGTGAGAATGCCACAGAGTCAGCAATATTTCTTTCTAATGTACATATAGTCACTATTAATTGAAACCATCTTGACTGCCTTTAAAACATGCAAATGAAGTGGCTAAGGTCCACCAAGGGGTTTGACCACTTTGTGATGCTGCTATGAAGGTCATGTCTTGAAATTGACATGCAATTTGCTTACATATACAGTCAACCCACAGAAGTTTCAGGAGAAAGAAAAAAAGGCAAGAGACAAGAAAAGAAAAGCAGAGAAGGTAAACCTTAAAGAGTTGTAATATGCATTAAGGATTATACCACTGAAGACAGCAAACTACCAAAAACGTATAGAGAACCAGTGGCAGTAGGCCTGAAAGGTTGTCTGCTGCAGATTCTGTGATGATGTCAAAAATGTGCAATTAGGAATACAACCAAGACACCAGAACAAAATTGCTACAATGGATATGAGATAAGTTAGGTAGCAGTGAGAGAAAGGCTGAACAGTAGAGATATGAAAGGCAGAGGAATCGACAAGGATGCGAGGAGGTAAGTATGGCCATAGGATGACTGTTGCAAAGACACGAAGAGGAGGCCTGCATAGCACGAGACAAAACAGGGAGAAGGGCTTGGTTGCTTGCATGACCAAGAGAAAATGAGACAGCTCTGCTGAACTGAAGAATGGACGCATGTGGTCTCTACTTCGGGTAAACCTTCCAGATCTTGTCTACATGTTTCCTGATTCTGGGTTGTGCCCCATTACTTCCTAAATAAAACATTTAACAATAAATATGGACTGGGTGTTTGTGTATACATATAAAGCTCCAGTGGGAGGGAAGTCTGGAGTCAGAATGAGTTAAAGGTTTGGAGAGTGGGTGTTGCCTTGACTCCCTACCTTATGGGAATCAGTATTGTGCTGATGGAGCTATTCTCTCCTTTTATAGTTAGAAGACTTTAGACACTACCCGAATCTTATCATTGGGGACAAGACAACTACGCTAATCACTATTATATCTTATTGTAATGGAAGTCCTACGCAGAGAAATAAGGCAAGGAACAGAAGTTAAAAGTTACTCTAATTGAGAATGATGTATAACCAAATATATTCTCACACAGCACTATTTCAAAGAATACACAGGAAGCTTCTGGAGCTAACAGAAAAAAATCAGTGAAAGATGATGTA